GAATTTTATTTGTAGTCATATAATACACAAAACAAGGGAATAAAATGATCTATGCTCACTCTACACAAAAGCCTTCTTTTGGCCCTTTTCCCTCTTATCCAAGCACCATGTCACTATTACCAAACAAGTTCCTTGATGACTCTTCCAAATGTTTTGTCCCAGGATATGACATGTTGAAAGAAGATGCTGAAGGTTTTGGAGTGAAGAAACTAGAGTGGGGATGTCCTCATCCAGGTTCTAGGGACCATCTCTTTTGCCATGGGGATTTCAGAACTTGTATCAGTTGCAAAAGGCTGTAGAATTCAATTACTCAGGGCTCCTCAGAGGGCCCTGACCTAATGAGGCCCAATCCTCTAAGCCAGAGTCAACCTCCTGCTGTGTATTCCCATAGCACCTCCCTAATGTTAACACACATCATGCTTTATTGCTATGTAGTTCATACCTCCCCTTTGTTAAGGGATATAAAGGCAGTTAAGTTCAGTAAAGTCAGGGATTCTTTGTCTTTTTTTTTTAAGATTTAATTTATGTATTTGTCAGCGAGAGAGAGAGAGAGAAAGCCCAAGCAGGGGGAGCAGCAGGCAGAGGGAGAAGCAGACTCCCCGCTTGAGCAGGGAGCCCGATGCAGGACTCGATCCCAGGACCCTGGGATCATGACCTGAGCCAAAGGCAGACGCTTAACTGACTGAGCCACCCAGGCGTCCCTGTTTGTCTTTTTAACTGCTGTGTCTTCAGTGCCTTGCATGATACCTGGTGACCACTCATATTAAATGGATGAATGAAAGGGAAGAAGGACTTCGTAGGTAGAAGGGGTACGAGGAGTCATGTAGCCTAAGTATGGAGTATGTGAGAGGAACGGGGAAGAAGATAGGATGAAGCTGTGCTGTGGAGGATCTCAAGCAGAAGTTAAAGAGTCTCAGCTTTATAAGCAGTAGGAAGCCAGTGAAGATCACAGCTAAAGCAGTGAGGTATATTATTACCATTGTATTTGATAGAATTTATTCATGGCACGGGCAGCTTCCTTTGCCCTTCCTAACACACTTCCTGCCAAGAAACGGATAATAATCTACAAAGCATTTTATATGCTCTACACCCAGTAAACTCAATGGGTATCTAATCTACATATTTCTTTGGCTGAGGTTGTGGGGAACCCAAAGGGACCCAGTGTAGCTGGGAAACTGACTTTCATATTATAAACTGAGCAGCTGGTACATGGTAGCAATTTTAACTTTCTGTGACCTCGCCTGGGTCATCCAGGAAGTCACAAATGAGACTTGTCCTGCACCCTATTTGCTGCCACCAGGGCACTCAGGGTCTGCCCCCCCCCCACCCCATCCGCTAGCCTCTCTTGTTCCCTCCCCATGAAGCAGCCTATCTGACGTCACTGTCTTTCTCCTCTTCCACGATGTTCCTTTTCTGTACCCGTGCTTTCCTCCTTCAGGTGGGATTCCTTGCACCACAAGTGAGGGGGTCAGCCGTCTTGGCAGACCAGACCAAAGCGTCACATTCTTTGCCTGGCCCTATTTTTAGACCTCCTGGGGGACTTGCAAGGAATGAGTGGCAGAGTCAGAAGATCAAGGGAAAAGTCTTCAGGGATTGAGGACAGTTTGGAAAACTTGCCCCAAATTTTGGAAGAATATGACATTTGTTTCCCTTTTTTCTTTTTGTTTCTGTTTTATTTCCATTTCTGTTTCCCTTTCACTTTCTCCTCTTCTGCTCTTCCATGTGTTTCTCTCTTCTTTGTAATGCACTTCTCTCTTTCTTTCTCTCTCTCCCTCTTTCTCTGTTCCTGTCCTCCCCCACCACTTCCCTTGCTAGTAAAGGCTGCCTTTTATTCTTTAGTTCTTATATGCCGAGCACTGTGCTAAGTGCTTTTTTATACATCACCTCATAACACTGGATGAGCTAAATAACAGTATCGTCATTTCGCAGATAGGGAAATTGAGATACCGATCCAGTAGCTTCTCCAAGCTCAGTGATATTAATAAGAGATTTGAACTCCACTTAGCTACCCCCAAACTATATTCTCTTAACAACTACATGGTCTCTCTTTTTTCCATTCTCAACTCCCGCTTGTCTTTTCCCGCTTTTTGCTTCTCCTCTCCCTTTCTCTCCGTCCCCTTCTCCCCCTCCCCTCTCTCAGACACTCAGCACATCCTGGTCCCTGCACGTGTGTGGATGACCCTGAAGGTGCTGAGCACTATGCACGTGCCTAGAAGAGATGACAGACCATTCGAACTCTTATCTAATCAGTCATTTTCCTTTTGAGCCAACGCACCACGATTTTCCACATTTGGAGGTTAAGGGAGGGGGACCCTTCACTACCTAAGGGAAAGGGCATGTGTCTGATCACAAACCAGAGGAAAGGCCTCAAGACCTGGATGAGTCTTTGATATGGAAGGGGACAGAGATAAGGCCCTTTCCACTCATGTGTGGACGCTCAGGGCTGGGGAGTCGGGGCCTGGGAGAAGACAGGACCAGGAGGCTGGTCTCTGTCAAGCTATCAACTCAGGAGTCAAGGAAGCCTGCACCATGAAATATGGCACCCCACCCTGTCCTTCCTCATTTGCATAAGAATGTTCAGATAGGAACCAGGGGCATATTGGCAGCAAAGATGTGAAGGTCAAGGTTTGAACTTGACAATCTCCAAGATCTCATTAGATTTGAGGTTTTATGATTACAAGAAGGGAATATTTATGTTCAGTTCTCCTTTCTTTCTTTCCTTTTTTCTTTTCTTTTTCTTTCTTTCTTTCTTTCTTTCTTTTTCTTTCTTTCTTTTCTTTCTTTCTT